GAAACGTAAAAATCAATCAGCATAACAACTTCATACAAGATAAAAGTACAGTACTTTACGAAAAAAGGAATATAATTACTTCTCTTCCTAGCAGTCTTTGCTGATGAATGACTTGCTTTGGAGTGTATGTTTCACCAGCAATATGGTCATTGAAAGACTCACCAAGTGGTACTTTTGATGGAATTATACAGCTTATTTCTCCACCATATGCAGGGCAACCAACCCAACCTACACCGCGAGCGAAAGCCCGAAAACCCAATTAACTACTAATACTATATGATTAATCCATGATTACCAATAACAGTAATCCAATCACTAATCGGTGTTAGCATTGCCTACCTTCAGGGAGCATGTGTTGATCAAAAGCTTGATGATGATTTCTGTTCTGAAACCCAGAATCCTGATATGGGTTTTTTCTCTTGAATCCCAATCTTATATCTTCTCCATCCTAATTGAAAATCAAGCACAACCCAACAAATGAACCAATTAACAAATCGAAATGATGTGATTACACAATTAAATCCCAATTTTCGTTTTTTTTTGTATTCAATTTTTTTTTCCACTTTTTGGGATTGGGATTTTAAAGATAGAGCATAATTAAAGAGTGATGTGGATCTGTGTGTGTTACCATTTGACTAGGGTTTCTTCAATCTGCTGAATCGATGGGACTCAGACAGTAATTAGGGTTTTGGGTTTGGATGGATCAGAGTGACTTGAGAGAGAAGTTGAGATAGAGAGAAACAGAGAGAGAGCCAACAAATTAAGATCTCGTTTGAATATTCTTTTAAAATAACTGAAAGTGCTTTTGGTAAAAATATTTTTTAGAATAAATTCTTAGTAAAAATGTAAATAAATTCTAGAAAAGCACTTAAAGTGTTTATTGCAGAAAACACTTAAAGTACTTTTGGAACCTAAAAATATTTTATTTAAAAGCAGTTTCAGTTATTTTAAAAGAATATCTAAACGAGTCTAAAATAATTACAATGAAACGCTGCGTTTATAAGGCTTGAGGAACCGCCACTATGTCCTCCCCTTTGGAAGACCGTACTACATTAATGATTTAAAAAATAAAAAATCATCATCGAATTGTACCGAAGTAAAACATTGATAAGATAATTAACTTACTCTACTACCAGTGAAATGGATAGATGGTCTCACGAATCATCTTTGTGACGCGACGTGAATAATACGTCACTTTTATTCATGTATAATTTTTATCATAAATAATGTCTGAAATTAACTTAACTCATTATTTTGGCAACTCAATCTAAAAATCGATCAATGTTGTTCCAGAAAAAGTGAAAGTGTATTTTTCAACCAAATTTAAAAGAATATAAAAAAATACTTACATGTATTTAACACAATCATCATCTTAATAATAATTTCATTAAATACATGTATCTTCACATGAATTATATATTAACGAGGAAAAAAAACCAAATTTTGAGTTATTCATGTTTTGGGCTTGAATTTCATGAATCAACTTAACAATAATGGGTCCACATAAGCCCATCTTGCTGGCTGGTCCAGTCGTTAAGGTATCTTACAAAGCGCACCGTATCATGTGCAGTAAAGGACCTTTGCCACGATCTCGAGCCCTAAAGTTAAATCTTCCTGTGCGGCACACAGACAGATCCCCCTCTCCCTCTCCCGCTTCGTTTGTTTGGTTGAAGCTTCGGAAGCCCTAGCTGTCATTTCTCTCTCTCTCGCCACAATGAAGCTCGTCAGGTTCGTCTTCCTCCTAAAACCCTAATTCCTCTTCTTCCTCAGTTAATTGCGCCGTTGATTTTGTACTGATATGCCTTCTTCTTCTTTTTTTGGGAAATTTTGCAGGTTTTTGATGAAGTTGAACAACGAGACAGTGTCGATCGAGCTCAAAAACGGCACCGTTGTGAACGGAACCATCACGGGTACTTCTCATTTCCTCGCTTTACTCTCTTTCTTTCTAATTTGTTGAATTAAGTGAGGTATTTGGATAATAGGGTTTTTATTTGGTTTGGATTTTGATTTACTTGTTTATAGAAGAAGTGGGTCTTGTTTAGGTTTCGTTTCGGTTTCGTATCAGTTATACTGCGTACGAAGACTTCGATTTTTATAGTGAAACATGGAATGCATAATTTGTTTTTGTTTTTTTCTCCTTGTGGAGCATCTCCAGTGGACGAAGCCGGGAGCTTTGTTTCCTCTGGAGATTTCTAGAAATATGGTATTGCTCATCCGGTGCTACCATTTCGTATAAATGGACTATGTGGAAGCATTGCTCAAACATTGAGTCGGTGCGAGTTTAAAGTATACCAGGGATGCAATTAAGTCTAATTTTGTTGAGTTGGTAATGTCTTATTCAGTAATTATAGTTTTTCTGCTTGCCTAAATTACTCGGTGATCTGGATATCTAGAGTTCGAGACTACTAGAATGATTTTCTTGGTATTATGAAGTAGTTGTAGCACACAAAATTGACAGGTTTCCACAATTGATTATTATAGTATATATGTTCATTTTCCGGGCATCTATGTCATTGTGATTTCCGACGGATAGAATTCCTGGGGAATTCTTATCCTTTATGCGGAGAACAAACATATGTCAAAATCTGTTGTGTACTGCAACATGCTTCTATTTTCCTTTTAAAGTTGCTGGCTCAGAGAGTCCGGAGACTCAAAGCTTAGAAGTGTGCTCAGCATTGCATTCCTGAGAGTTGGGATGTAGTTTTGCTTTATCTCTAAACTATGGATGCCATTTTCAGCACATAATCTGCACGAGCACCCATGATTACTTCCGTTTATTGCATGATAATCAATTCCTTATCTCAGCAGAAGCTTCAGAATATCTGCACAACATTTGAGTTTAAAATGTGGACTGGCAAGAATATGCTTTTAAGTTTGATGCTCACGTTACAGACACTGAAAGCTTATTATGGCTTTTCAAACATTAGACAATGTTTGTAATGAAAAGTATGACCATTTCTGTACATGCGTAGTATAAATACATCTGCGAAACAGCTCTGGTTGTGTTATTAGTCACCAAAGAAGATCACTGTGTAGTGAGTAATATCATCCGGTAAAGGTTGAAGAAGCTTCAGCTTTCTGCAACTGGACTGCCTTGTGGAGATAAATTTAGAGTTTTTAACTTAAACTTCATAAATAGATTGTAATCTTGATTTGGATGCACGCTTCCACATGGGTTGTTTTCAACTACTTAACAGGGACGGAAAAGTAGCTATTCTGATTGGTAACTTTGCTTATTGTTACAGGTGTGGATATCAGTATGAATACTCATTTGAAGACGGTGAAACTTACACTCAAGGGGAAGAACCCAGTGACTCTGGATCATCTCAGCGTGAGGGGTAACAACATTCGATACTATATCCTTCCTGACAGCCTGAATCTCGAGACTTTGCTGGTTGAAGAGACACCTAGGGTCAAGCCCAAGAAGCCAACTGCAGGTACTGCAGACTTGTGTTTATCATAAAAACTTTCTAAATGTATTCATTCCTCTGCTATCACGCTTGAACTTGCCATTAATCATGTAAATATATTTCCTTTGTTTATTTTCAATTACAGGGAGGCCTATGGGACGGGGACGTGGCCGTGGACGTGGTCGCGGACGTGGCCGCGGACGTTAATTTTTGTTGCACCTGGTTATGTAGACACAACCTCTGTAGGAAGGAACTTGTCATTGTGATCTTGTTGCGGTACTGTACTTTAATTTGTTGTCTATGCCGAGTGAATTCTTTAAGTTTTGTTAAGAAGCTGATCAAATATGCTTTTGACATCTCATATCTAGTTCTTCATTTTCAATTTGGGTGTCGACTGTCGAGGCATTGTGTGAAGTTGATGAATGTTTACTGAGATTTGATAGCATATGAATATAAAATGTTGGCTTAGCTGCTGTTTTTGCTTGGGTTAAAATTCGTAACGAATCCTGATAGTGTAAAAACTACTGTTAATTTTGTTATGATTGTGTTTGACTGTAGAATCTCGGATGACCGACGAAGTGTCTTTTAACCATTTGAATTACAAGTTCTTAAGCGGACTACTCAAAAGCCATTTGTAGTCTGAAAACAGTAGGCTATTTATACGCAATGACTCAGAGTATGTTTAGAAGTACATTTAAAACAATTAAATGTATTTTTAGATCACCATAAGTGGTTTTTGCCATGTTTGACAGAAAAAGTTACAATCCTAAAACACTTTTTTGAGTAAGCACTTAATTAAGTGTTTGTCCAGTGAGCACTTGCTTTTTATGCAAAATTTCATAGTGCTTCTAATAGAAGTGCTTTGCCTGATGGTGATTCTGAGCATAAGTGTATTTTCAAGAAGCAATTCCAAAACGAACCGAAAGTGTTTTACAAAATGGCTAGATGTGTTCTTTAGATTTGGCTTTTCTTTATAAATATGAGCAATTTGTTAGTGACTAAACCTAATAGTTCCTCTTTAGTGCAAGCACTAAGTAAGCAAGCTCCATTTCCCTATGGTCGGCAAGTAAACTACCTCTTGTTCGGGCATGTTTTCGACTGTTTTTATAGAAGTGTATTTTGAAGCATGTGCTTCTGTATAAAACTCTCCTGATTCTGACAATTTGGTCAAACGCATTTAGAAGCACCTAAAAATTAGAAGGCACTTTTACTCCATAAGCAATCCAAACAAGCCCTTAATAACAGAGAAAGAGTAAGTAATTTGACATCGTATTCCTACCTGGTTTACTGATCCACTTGTTACCAAACACGGGGCCTCGACATCGTATTCCTATCCTGGTTTATTGATCCACTTGTCACCAAAATCCAAACAAACCGTGCATACACACACACACACATATATATATATATACACACACAGATGTGATATTCACATAGCTATTTTTACTTCTCTCACATTTTTTTAGTTTTCAACCGTTGGATTGGATGAATTGAAGAAGATCAAAGAAGACAAATTAACAAGGAATGAGAGAGAAGTAAAAATGAATGTGTGAATAACACATCTGTATAAATATATATATATATTAAACTCAATATTCTCAGGCACCTGCAACGAGACCCGAGAGATCAACGCCACAAATATTTCAAATTCGTCAAACTCTTTCAACAGAAGAAAAAGAAACCGGCGATGGGAAAAGCGTCGGGAGCGAAGCAAGCGGCGGTGGTGTTCGGAGCCCTAGCCGTCGGATGGCTGGCCATAGAGCTCGCCTTCAAGCCCTTCCTCGACAAAGCCCGCTCCGGCATGAACAAGTCCGACCCGGCCCGCGATCCCGACGAAGACGATGTCGTCAAGGCTGCCGAGGCCACCGTTAAAGCTGCCGAGGCCACGGTTAAAGCTGCCCAGGCCACCGTTAAAGCTGCCGAGATCGCCGTCGACGAAGCCTCTGCACCTCTGTAAGGTAGCGGACTCGAACACTACTACTACTGGTACAATCTGCACCGAATCGATAGGCAATAACGATGGGGGTTTTGGAATATTACGATCTCGGATTAATCAAATTTTAAGAGCTTTGTTACTGTTTACTGTGAATTCGTAAATTGTTGGAATTTTAGAATCGAGGGACTTGCTGGCTTTTGAATTTTTCTTTCTGTTTAATCACTATTAATTAATGCTTGTTAATTATAATTAGATTCTAAATTTTAGATTTTAGGGTTTTGGATTTGTTTGCTGTATGTAATTGCAATTTTTACTGAAGGAGGAGTCGAGTCGAGGGCGTCTTTTCGTGGAAGAGACGTAGATTGTTCTAGAAACCCATGGTTTTACAGAAATCCCTGGGTTGTTTGGACTCAGTTGACTTGGGTATATGTTTGGGCCCTCTGTGATGATGGGCTTGTTGTACTGAGGCCCACGTCTCGTCACACTATCCCTAAAGCCCATAAGAACCTGGAGCCGAGTTGGGAAGGGGACTCGAACACGGACATTTCCATACATCTTTTAGGCCATTCTAGCCCATGTTTGGCTCTCTTCTGGATTATAGTTCTGTAAGAAATTATTTTTTAATGAACGATATCAGATCATATTTATATGTCATCTTCAATTGAATAGGCAAAACATAATCCTTTAATAATTTATTAATTTCAAATTTATTCTTTAAATTGATTAATTAATTTAACTAAACTACGAATAATTTTTCGGAACAGTCCCAAGTACATGACAAAAACTTATGCTTGCTCTGCTCCCCAGAACACTCTTAAACAAATAATATAACATAAATGTAAATTATAGTACCAATTGGTACCAACCCTGGTCGTTGGATCTGTCCAACTCGTTGCAGCTGCAGCTGCAGCTGTTGGATGGAGCCCATAAAACGGGTTGGGTACTAGGCCAACTTAGGCCAACTCGATAGCCCTCTGGCAAAGTTTTAGCCTGGTGGGCTTCACTTTGGAGATGACTTTAGTCGCTTGGGTTACAAGTTCGTTGAACAAAACCAATTACTTTCACGACATTTACTTTCACTATATAGGTGTTGAAATTTATTGTCTAAAAGTTATGTTTGAGTTACTCAATTTATCGTAGATAAGAAATTGATTGGAAAAATTGGCTTTGGCGCAAACCTATGATCTAATTCCTATTTGGCAACTCAACTTCTGAGCCTTCTAATCTTTTAAAACGTGTCAATTCCTCTTATCCCTTCCTCCTCGCATCAAGTGTTAAAAGTGGTTGAATTTTCAGTCGTTTCTATCGGCAATGCCATTCGTAAGGACGAGTATAACCCTTATTTTCAAGATAGCTGGACAAATTAGACGATAGGGACAAATCTACACATTTTGAAAGATTATGGAGCTCATGACAAAATTGAAAATCCAAGGTAAATAGGAAGAAATCAAGTGGGAATTGATGACTAACTTAAGAGCATGTTTACTTACTTGAAATGAGTTCATGCATGGAATAAACTACTATGACGATTTGATACCAGATTATATAGATATAGGATAACTAATATTAATGTGAGTCATGCCTCATGTGATAGTAAACACATGATATCTCAGGTGAAGAATCTTATATAGGAGAGCCGCATAATTAGGCTTGCAGCTACGTTGGCACGAGTGAGGTCAGATTTACTTAAGAGCAGGAGGGGGTTAGTGTTTTTGGAAAAGTGAGTTAGGGCAAGGAAGAGACGCAATGAAATTTCTTTCCTATGTCAGGAATGAGATGTGAGGATATGATGAGAAGAGAGAAAATTGATTAATTTGGTTTGGACATATGAAACGAAGACTTAGAGATGCTTTGGTTTGAAAATTTGATTATGTGACAGAGGCTTAGGGCAAAAGGGAGGGAAAAAGACTTTAAAAAAATAAATGGAATATTGAGAACTAACTGAAGACTTGGCACAAAATCAAATGGAATACTGAGAACTAACTGAAGACTTGGCACAAAATCAAGTCTAATGGTGTTATTCAATTCATAGCACTATTTTCTGGCATAACTACATGAAAGTTTAATTTTGTACGCCAATTACATGGAGCTAAGCGAAGGCTGAAGGGGACCATAACAATCTCTACGCTCAACCCTCGAAACGGAAAACGTAATCATCCGTTATTATATGTCCTTCCTGCAATCTGAGCTTAGGGCATTTTCAAGCAAATAAAGATCGATGTCACTATACCAACTGATGATGTTCGGTACATTAAATTTCTTTTAAATAAGGATAAAATGACAAAAATTGAGGGTATTTTTGTCTCATTGTTTATTAAATTGAGGGTATTTTTGTTATTTTAATTCTTAATTAACAATTTTTTTTTATGGAATTACTAATATGATTGATGATGGACAATGACAAAGTGATTTCAGCAGTAACCTTCCACCAAAAACATATGAAAATTGTTAACATGGAAAGTGACGCACAAACCGGTTCGATTTGATTAACAAGATATTATCGGATTCTGCCATCTGGGTTCCTCAAATGTTCCTGCCTTTCTCACGTTAGAAACCTCAAAAAAATTAAAGGTTGAATCTTTGATTATGTTTGGAGCTTCTTTGTTGTTCGTGTGAGCTCATGGCTGATCAGTGAAGTTAGTAAAACAAAACCCAGTTCCTCTCTCTCTGTTTCTTAATGTTGATTAGGCAAATGATTAGTTTCTTACGATGCATAGACACATACACGGAGACAGGACACGATATAGTAAGGATACGATATAAAAGCATCTGAAAGGCATTGAAATTTTAACTTATTTAACAAAAGGGAGCAACAAGAAAGCATAGAACTGATCAAAACACGAGAAAGCATAGAAAGCATCGAGATTATAACTTGGTACTTTGTCTGAAGGACCAGAGCTGTTTTCTTGCCCCTCAAGATTTCCACCCTGTCCACCTTCTAATTGGGTTTGGTCTTTACTAGTTGTAGTACACCTGCCCAATCCGTCAGATGTGGGGTTTTACCACAAAAGGCCTCGGTATTAGTTAGAGTGGGGTAATACTATTTAAACCTCTTTGGTTTTCTTCACCCCACCGATGTGGGACAGTTTAACACTCCCCCTCACGTGTAACCTCATTTAGTGGTTCACACGGAGATCCACATCGGTAATTGAAACTCAGAGATCGGTTCATGTTGGGCCCACTTGTTTTCAATGGAACTCAGCGGTCGTCTCTATATTAACAGCTCAGACTTGTTTCCTTCCAGGTGGTGACAAGCTCGTTGGCTTGCAATTAACAGCTCAGACTTGTTTCCTTCCAGGTGGTGACAAGCTCGTTGGCTTGCACACAAGCTCGTTGGCTTGCAAGGGCCCGCAACCGTGGGCTCTGATACCATGTTGGAATTTTTGAATCGCCGGGCCCGCCCCACTCTAACGACACCGATATTGTCCCCAACTTAACCACCTGCCCAATCCGTCAGGTGTGGGGTTTTACCACAAAAGGCCTCGGTATTAGTTAGAGTGGGGTAATACTATTTAAACCCCTTTGGTTTTCTTCACCCCACCGATGTGGGACAGTTTAACACGAATGACGTTCCCGCAGTGTAGATTAGTTTAAAGTAAAATATCACACGCATAAAAATGATGAAGTAGATGCCTCATGTGCCCGAGATATGATCAAATCCATGTTGTTCTTGTTTCTCCTTATATTTTAGGTCATGAACCTTTAAAAGCTAAAGAACAAAATGTTATTGGGTTACTTCTTGTTCCAAATTTTAGTTCATTGCAACTGATCGTGATTGTGAATGTGTACGTGCATCTTTAGAGGCTTTGGTGATGAAGAACAGTATTTTCGATAGAGACATTTCATGATTTTTGTTCTTCCCTAAATCCGGATTTGTAATGTTTGGCGACTCTATGGCTACACTTAATCGCACAACAACGTCCCTCGTTCAATATGCAAGTATTTTCTTTCCTAAAGCTTGTAATCACTTGCACGTTGGCAACTTAGGCACTAACATCTACTTATCCTCATAACCCCTTAACCTTGTTGCTTTACTGTTTTCATGATTGGTTTGTAATACGATCTATGTAAGTGGTCTTGGCTCCTCTCTTGTACCTCCGTCGTTTTTACTTCACTTTCGAGAGTGAAGAGAACAACGGTTGGATATTAGATTTAGTCGGGGAGTTCTTAATATTGAAAGGAATGTAATTCTTGGTTACAAAGCTTCTGCTTAAAGAACTTTCAGGCTTGAAACTCTTGAGTATGTTTGAAGATGTGTGTGATTTCCTGTTTTCTCCTTTTCTTGTTGTCTAGTTTCTTTGTTTTTCGATGCTTCTTTTTTCGGCAGCACTTCAATTACAACTAGACGAGGTTACTCGTAGTCATAGAACCTGTAACGAGTCCCATGGTGGTTGTTGATTAGCTCTCGTTACTTTCCGAAAACTACTCTACGTGAAGCACATTATGTTTTGCCCCTTGATTTTTATGGCAATTGATGATACAGCTTGTCTAACTATCGTGTCGGATAGAACATAAACTGTGATTGTCTCGAGAGATCTTGTTGAATTTAACATTTGCTTTGTTTCCGTGATGATCAGAGATCTGTTGCAAATGTCAGTTGCACAAGTCGAGAAAATGGCATCTTTGAACGCAGACCTTTTCTACGAAGTACTGAAGCGTCTTGACGGACCAACTTTGGCTAGTGCAGCGTTCTGTTCCATCTCAAAGGAAGAAAGATTGTGGGAATATGTCTGCTCTTCCAAGTGGCCTTCCACTAATCGGGAAGACGTCAAGGTTTGATTCTATCCATTGGTGGATTCCGAAAGTTTTATGCAGATTGTTTTCCCCCTTAGGCTGGTTTGGTATTGTTGTGCTTTGAAAAAAAAGCTGTTGTGAGAATAAGCGGCTGTGAAATAAATCAGCAGAGTGTTCGGTAAACTTTTTTGTAAAAGTACTTTTGGAAAAAAAAAAAAACAGTCTGATAATGGGTCTTTTCATTAAAGGAGCACTGTAGCTCCGTGTGCTTTGAAAAAAAAGCCAGTTTTCCAAAGCTGCAAATAGCAGCTTCAGCTTTTTCCTTTGATTTCAGCTTATTCTCACAGCAGCTTCCAAATAAACCATTTTTTTTCAGTTTACCAAACACTTAAAACCCTCACAGCTTTTTTTCATGGGTGCTTTTTTTTAAGCACCTCACTCCCAAACCACCCCTTATTGTAACGAGGAAATTTCCAAGTATCGACGGAATGACTACCTCGAGTATCCTGAAGAATGGACTCAGTCTGAATACTACGGTGACATGGATGAATTCGAAAGTATTTCACCATCGGATTTTGGTTCTCTTGTGGACATCAGGTATAGGACAAAATAATCGGCTC